CGCCGGAACATGGCCCTGCGCGCCGCCGGTCCGCGCTCCGCCGCGGGGAGCGCTCTGCTGAGGCTGCGGCGCGCCGGCGAGCTCCGGCTGGCTGCCGGCGTGCCATGAGCCCGGCGGGAGCCGCGGCAGACAGAGCCGGGCCCGTCCTGCCCCGCCGCCGGGCGCGGGCTGCAGCCGCCGCCGATGCCTTTGTAGGCGCCCAGGTCAGTATACGAGGGCGGGGATCGCCGCTCCGTTCGCGGAAGGCTGCGGGACGCGGCGGCGTTTGCTCGGGGTCGGGTCCGTCGCCGTGCCCTCCTTCCTCTTCGCCGCTCCTCGGGCGCCGTCACGGACAGACGCGGCTCCCGGCCCGGCGCTCGCAGGAGCGTCGCACGTGCAGAAGCGCGCTGTAATGCCTCCGGCTCGCGGTTTCCCATTTGGGTGGGCATGACGAACGGGATGGCCCAGACTTTCCCGGAGGAGCTGGGGATGCTGTAGGCACATCTGTTCCCAAAATAGTTTTGCAAAGCGGCTCTTAATGAAGAGCGGGAATTCAGACCATCTGGGCTACTCTCAGTAGAGAAATGGGACAAACGGGATAGATGTCTGCTTCCAAAAGCTCCCGGTGTCGGAGATCTCGGCCTCTTTTCTCTGCCCGGTTCCAGCGGGTCGCTTTGTTTCAGTTCTGCGTACAGCTGCTGCAGCCCGTCTTGGAGGAGGCAGACGCTGCAAGCACCGCGTGCCGCCGTGCCGATGAGCAGCGTGCCGGGAGCTGATGCTCCTTGTGTGCTTCCGTGCACATCCCATACGGTGTTGGCACCTGTGGGAAAGCACAGCAAATTTCTGAGCAGCTGGGAAGTGCTTTACGGAGGTTATGGACAGAAATGGGCACTTGAGGGGGGAAAGTCAGCCTGACCCCCCCATCTCCTGCTGAGTTGGAATGGCACAACGCAGAGATTCCGTTCCGTTCCAGAGATCCACAGACCTTCACCTGTCTCTTGGGCTCAGTGTGAACTGTGTTTTCCTGTATTTGTGGCATTTCTCTCTGCCTCACGGCGATCTCCCTGACAAGCAGGGTTGTCCATACGTTGTGCAATATTAAGGAGAAATTTTAAGTGCTTTTGTTTGGTGGTTGAGATCGCTGCCTGTGAGCTCCACCATTAAACAGACCCAGCCAGGATGTTACTGACAGTGATGACTCCTCAAAAACAAAGCGGGTCAAGCCAATGCTTTGACTTGCTTGGTGTTTTTACTGTACAGAGGAACCAAGCAAAATGTTACATGCAAACAACCAATCATTTGTAAAATAGGAAGAGAGCAGTAATGAAGTGCTTTTTGGGTTCTTTACTCGTCCAGTAAAGCAGCATGTAGAGGTGAGAAAAGCCCTCAGAGACACAGTGTGAGCCATTGCCCACCAAATGGGGACACTGTTGCCACTCTGTGTAGCCTGAAAAGTCAGAATCCCAGCATGAAATACTTTGAGTAATAATTGTCTCTAGGACAGGGCTTAGGTTGGAAGATGGGGATGGACATGTGTGCTGTCACAGGGAGCGCTTCAGTTGTGAATGCCTTCTGCAGCACAAGGTTTGGTTCTTGTTTTACCTGTGCCATTTAGGGTGGGAGCTCCACCCTTTAAGCATCTTATTACCTCTGCTGGTGGGATGGCGTGGCTGGGCAGCACTGTGGCTGTGTGGTTTTGGTGGTTCTGTGGGGAGATTGTCCCACCTGGTATCAGCAATCACATGCATTCGCAGCAGCAACCCCGTAACCTTCACACGTGGGAGAAAACTTGGGAGGTGTTGGAAAGTGCTGTGTTGGCTGCCTTCTAACACAGAGTGTGTATGTGCAGATTCAGACTGATCTCTGCGTGGGTCGGGTTCTGGCTGAGCAGCTCCTCCTGCCCCTCTGTGGAGAGTTTTGCTGCACTTCCAAGTTTGTGACCCATGGGGCAGTGCCTCGCTCCTACGTGAGCACTGAGAGCACTAGGAGTGCAAACGGCCTTTGGCACAATGGAGCAGGTTTCCTGAGTTAATATGTTGTCCAGGAGTTACGTGTGGGCCCTCAGAGTTGGGCTTTTATGGTTAAAATTGAAGAATAATAATCTCCAGAGAAGACTGCAATTTCAGGTTGTTTTCTGTAAATTATGAGGTGTTTCCGATACAGAAATGCAGTCGTTTTCATCGACTTTGTTGGAAGCAGCCTTGAAGAACCCACAAATTCCCCTCAGTCTGTAAATTATGTTACATTGGCAAAAGGTATTTGGTTCTGTGTTGCCCCAGGTTTTAAAGAGGTGAGAGTACATAGGATGAGGTTGACCTTGGGCAGCACAGGCATGCACCCATTTTTGCCGCGTTTAGAAGTTTGGTGCTTCCAGTGCAGGGAACCTTACACAGCTCAGATTTCCTGTGTAATGTAAGCAGAGAAAAGCTTGTTTTGGTAACTTGATTTATGTGCAGCTGAGCATTTGTCTTCAGTGCGCAGGTACTTGCCATGAGACCCCCTGTTGGAGATGAAAGATAAGAATGTAGAAACACTGGTGATGTATTTTCCTTGAGTACTAAGTGCTGGCTGCCCACGGCCCCTGAAGTGAGCCCAAACACAAGGATTTGCATAGCAAAATAAAAAATAATAAAGGATAAATGGTCTTGGACGTCCTCTGTGGTGCTTACAGCCCTTCTGTTAATTATTGCAACGCGAAGCAGTTGTTGGTAAAGGTAAAAACAAATTACTGCTCCTTCCTCCCCCCCCTTTTCATTTGCACTTTCATCCTGTGTTCATTGCTGAGACTTGGCTGATAATGCCTTTCTGGCAATCAGCATGTTGAACCCAGGGTACACAAATGGGCAGTGATGTTTCACGGCAGTTTCCTGGTATCACTGCACACTGTGTTTTCAACTTGCTGATGTCTGTGCAGATATGGCCCGGCAAATCCCGATATGGAGACTGTAGAGGTGATAACGTTTAGATTGAAGCTGACAGAGTTGGGGCTTAGAGAATGGTGCTCCCTAAGGGGTTAAAAGGATCCTGAGCAGAAGGAAACGTGTGGGGTCCGATGGTTTCTCGGAGCTGTAGCTGCATGCAGGTCCTGGAGCCGGCTGCACATCAGCAGCGCTGTGAGCAGGTGGGCTGCTTTGAGTCTGCCATGGGAACAGAGGTTCTCTCTGCAGCTCTGTCAGTTTCTCGGCACTGCGGGAGCTGTGCTGACTGTATGCACAGAATTCTGCCACTGCTATCAGCTGCGTCTTTGTTCTGTGCTGAGGTGGTGCATTACGTCACCTGCAAAATGGGCAGCGTTAGAGACTTGCTGTGTATTCTCACCCCGTTTCCATCTTTGCTGCCTGGAGCTTTCTAGTTCAGGCTGGAGAAATAGCAGCAGCCTCTGCCAGCCTTTAGGAGGGTTCCCTTGGCTCTGTGCTGAAGCTCCAGAAGATTTCATTCCCTTCCCTCTTTATTAATAGCAGCATGGTTCTGATCTGCCTTTAGACTGAGCAATGATTGACAATTAGCCATGGAAAACACCGTTGTCCCAGCAAGAGTCCGAGGGTTACAGGTTCAAATTCCTGATATCTGTTCTTCAGACTCCTGTTGGGTCCGACAGAGACTCTCTGCTACCGAAAACCTGGCAGTGCTGTCCTAAATGATTCCTGGGAGTGCTGCCCACGTGTCTGAATAGGAATATTAGATGCTGTTTTCAAACAGTTTCCTGAAAAATGTTCCCTTACCATTTCTGTCTGGGGACAGTGGGACAGTGACAGTCGTCCCTTCAGTGACTTGGCAGAAGGTGTGAGGAAGCACTTAATGTGAGCAGGAAGGGGGGAGCTTCGTCACTGAGACTGCAGTCCTTTGGGGGAAGCCTGGAAGATGCGCACAGGCCTGGGGTCCCATTTCTGTTCTACTATGTTTGGAGCTAGTAAAGAGAAATTACATATATATCAATATCTATCTCAGTCTGCACTGCCTACTGTTGTATCTCATGGGAATCGTTTTCTGCTGCTGTTTGGGGGCATACAGAACTTCTGTCTGTGTGACATTGGTGGCTCGGATGCGATGGCTGGGCTGCGTCGCTCCTCCCGGCTGTAATAAAGCACGAGTGCTGGCAGCCCGGGCCGCTGGTGTGGGATGCAGCACGGAGCTGTTGCCCTGCAGATGCAGCTGTGTCCCCACAACACGAGCTGTGTGTCACAGCCCTCAGCTGAGGGATGGCTCAGCGGCGCCGGGTCGCTGCCGGGCTCTGCAGCGTACGTGCTGTGCATGGCGATGGGAAGGAGGAGGCAGAGGAGCAGACTGCACTGCAGCACACTGCAGCACTGCCTGAACAAAGGCTGGCTAAGAAACACGGCTCTGCTCACTGCTGCGCGCTGCCTGCAGCTGAGAGGTGAGGCTGTCAGAGTGCATCCGCATGACAGCGTTTCCGAAGGGTTTGCAATTCACAGGGCAACTGAGCTGTTAATCGGGCACTGATAACAAGGCACCTAACAAGGCAGATGACTGCAGTGGGAAGCGGCATTCTCTTGTGATCCTGGCTCCTGGGCGGCCCGGGTGGGACTGCGGGGTCAGTGATCGAGGTTGGCAGAGACCTCTGGAGGTCATTGGGTCCAACCCACAGCTCAAACCCAGCCACAAAAGTGCTGAATTACCACATATTTGTGTTGGAGCTGAGCTGATGTCTGCTGCCAAGGCATAGCCGGGATGGACGCTTTGTTGTTGTTGTTCTCTAATGGCTGGGAAGTCAGAGTTGACATCTCACTGACAAATGGTTAGGTGACGAAGGGAGGCTTTGCTTTGTTTCGTTCCTCAGTTAATTGATGCCTGACTCTTGGGCTAAACAGAGGCCATCCAGGTGGATCTGGCAAGTGGGAGTTGTGCTGATGAGCACTTTGGGGAACCTTCATGGCAATTTTTTCTAAGAGTATCGCTGACAGTCTGTCAAACTTTAAACTACACTACTGGAACCGTGAAGAAACTTTCTGAGGGGCAGGGACTCTTAGAGCATGCTGCTAGGGGCTCTGTATGTAAGCAGGTCTCTCAGACAGGACTTTCTCTTTTAGAACCCAATAACAACATTTTAATTGTCATGCACAGATTCCTGTTGCTGCTAATAGGCTTTGCTGTGGAGCATTCGAGCTGCACTGACTGGACACAGACACACAGATATCTGCTGAGATCACAGAGATCTCTACAGCCTCAGTTTAGCAGTGCCTTCATGCAGTGCTGCAACCTCATTCTCCCCACTCCACTGTTCAAGCAATACGAGCCGCATCACAGTGCTGGCTTACAGTTGGAGGTGAAAATAACTAACACATCCTTTAGATCTGTGCAGAGACTGCACAACTCTGCTTTGCAGGAGGTGTTCCTGGTTTATCAGTGCCCATCCCCTGAGATTTGTGGTAATCCTGTACCAGGTGGCTTGGCTGAAGTTGTCCAAGGAAGTCCATCTGTCAGGTCAGGAATGTGGATCTTTTTAACAGCTTCTTATTCTGAGTGCAGAAAGAAGCAAAGCTGTCTTTTTCTTCCAGGTGCCATTATTGCATGGTGATGAGGAGATGGTTGGACTAGATGATCCTGTAGGTCGTTTCCAACCTTGTGATTCTATGATTCTATGATTGCATGGTTTTAGGAGGCAAGCCAAGCTTAATTCAGTACTCCTGTGAAAACAGAGTGGTTGTCTCTAGAACTGAGAGTATTTCTATGTGGTTCTGCTGAGATGTTGTCTGAACAATTCCATTTGCTCAGGATTTACTTATATATTCAAACCTGAAGAGGCAGAGTGCTGCAGGGCACTCATGCCTTTGCTCCAAGTGGAGCAGATCTCCTTTGTGATTTTCAGGGCGGTTGGTTGTGGCTCTCCACAGTAGGCTGCCAAAAACTAAACTTCCTTACTATGGAAATGCCCTTATTCTGCCTTTCGTCAACCCAGATAACCAGTTCAGGATGTCGATACTGGAGCGCCTTGAGCAGATGGAGAGGAGAATGGCGGAAATGACGGGCTCCCAGCAGCACAAGCAAGGAGTAGGAGGCGGGAGCAATGGGAGTGGGAATGGAGGAACACAGGTGCAGGTATGGACCCTGCTGTGCCCAGTCACAGTAGCTTTATGGTTTCTTACCAGCATTTGTATGTGATGGGGGTTGGAACAAAGTGTAGTTGTTTCTTTTTAAGCCACAAGGCTTCTTTGTGGATGTCTTTAAGAGCAGTTGGCTTGCACTCGCATTTGCCACTGTCTCATTACTTCTGAAAGGGAAAGTTGCCTGCTCAGGGCAAGCAGAGCTCTGCTCCATGGTTAACATGGGCTGTGTGTGGTGTTTCCCAGTGCGTTTCTGGGACTGGAACCTTGGGCAGCTGCTTTGAGAGCCGCGTGGTGGTGGTGTGTGAGAAGATGATGAGTCGTGCTTGCTGGGCAAAGTCCAAACACTTGATCCATTCAAAGACTTTCCGAGGAATGACGCTGCTCCACCTAGCTGCTGCCCAGGGCTATGCTACGCTGATCCAGACCCTCATCAAATGGCGGTAAGACGCGGCCTGCTGGGCTCTTGGGTATCAATATAGACATGATGGAAACATATGTAAGCTCTGCTTGCTCCAGATTTCTGCTTGTCCCTTACAAAATGCTCCGTGTGTCCCTTACAAACAGCCAAATCCCCAAACTTCTTCCTCTCCCCTTGTCTGGGAGAACCTGTATCTTGTGACAGTGCAGTTACTGGTCGTGTCATACTTAAAGTCTCTATTGGGGGTACCATGGGTAGTAAATGTGTGTCGTAGCCACTTCATTGTGGTGTGATGTACTGGATAAAGCTGTACATTTAGGAAATTATCCTAACTTGTCTACAGAGCATCATTTGTTCCGTTGTTTCTTCTGCAGCACCAAACACGCAGACAGCATTGATCTGGAGCTGGAAGTTGACCCTTTGAATGTGGATCATTTCTCCTGCACCCCCCTGGTAAGCAGCAGAGACAGAAACTTCTGAAGGTGTCTGAGGACCTTCTGGAGTCCTTTCTGATGTTATTTTTTTGATGTATGTTACACTCTGAAGAGTGGATGTTTCCTGCATGTTCTTGCTGTGTGAATGTTAAGACGTGGTGCTACCATCTTCCTAGAGCTTTGGTGGCAGTCCTGACAGAAAGATCACTGAATGCTTGGGTTGAAAGGGACCTTAAAGCCCCCTCAGTTCCAACCTCATGCCATGGGCTGCTTGCACCCCTCCGTCAGGCTGCCCAGGGCCCATCCATGGCCTCAGGCACCTCCAGGGATGGGGCACCCCCACTTGTCTGAGCAGCCTGTGCCATGGTAAAGAACTTCTTCCTAATATCTAATCTAAAATCCTTGTAATTGAGTAACATGAGCGCAAGGGACAGACAGGTGGTTCTACTTTTGTCTTTTACCCAACCTCTACTCGCCAGTGTCATGCTGGGGTTAAAGCCTTTACATGCCTTCTTTCAAATTTTCCTCTTCTGCTGTAGAGGTTGTAAAGTCATCACGATATCTTGTTTGTGGAATCATGACTAAGAGCTTAAGTAAAACGCCAAAGCAGGTAGAACCAGAAGTGCCAGTTTACAACAGCAGAGTGTTTGATTGTATTGTTCCCAACCTTCAGAGATCTCCGTTTGAGGCCGTTCTTTCTCTGCAGTGATGTTAGTGTGCCTGACACAGCTAAAAATCAAGGCCTCGATGGTGAGAAACTGTCAGCTTCATTTGGTGGATGGAGGTTTCTCACTTAATGGAGAGAACAGCGTGCATGTAATCCTCTGTAGTGACTTTTTGTTTGTAGAGGACATCTGTAAAAACCCCTTGGTGGTGATGCATGCTGTGATTTGCTAATCAAGTTTCTGTGACCTGAGGATAAGACTCCGCTGCATTATTCAGAAGAGAAGGAAATAACAAATCTCACAATGGGTTAATTGTTTTTTTCAGATGTGGGCATGTGCCCTGGGCCACATGGATGCAGCTGTTGTGCTGTATAAGTGGGACCGCCGAGCCATCTCTATTCCTGACTCCCTTGGGAGGCTGCCGCTGGCAATTGCCCGCTCTCGGGGCCACGTGAAGCTGGCAGAATGCTTGGAGCAGCTGCAGCGTGATGAGCAAACTCAGCTTGGACAGAACCCCAGAATTCAGTGCCCCTCGAGCACCGACTCCAGCACAGAAAGCTGGGTGTCCCAGTGGCACAGTGAGCTTATTGCCTCTCAAGAGCCTCAGAAGGGAGTCACTGTGATTTCCAGTACCAACACGGGTAAGAAAAACCCAACGGCACTGTTTGCTGATTATGTGATATGTGAAATCCTAGAGCAAGGAGCTCACCTGGGTGGCTGATGCCACCAGTAGCCCTGCTGTCCATGCTTAATTATTTTTTGTGGGCTCTCTATTATGCACTCCGTGCTCTTTTGTAAATACTGAAAAAAGGAGTGAATGTCTGCCTTAGGAAGATGTGTGTATCTGAAGAATATTTGGGATAATATCCTCCTTGGGTGTTGATTCCTTTGCATACACTGTTGGGTGTTGCAGAGCACAGCATGAACTTCTGTCTGCTGCTCTGCAGCAGAAGTTGTTTCTGTGGCAATCACCTGTTGCATACTTCACTTGACCATTGATCTGTTTGTTTTCAGAGCTGAGACGACCAAGATCAGAACCTTCCAGTTACTACAGTAGTGAGACTCAGAAAGATTACCCTGCACCCAAAAAACATAAACTGAGCCCTGAATATTTTCAAGCCCGGCAAGAGAAGCTGCTTTCCACTGCACTGAGCCTGGAACAGCCAAGTGTCAGGAAGCAGAACTCCAGCTCCAAGCAGTCCACCACTGAGACAATCAGCCCCAGTGAAGGGATAAGGGACTATGGCCGGGAGCTCTCCCAGCACATCCCAGAAGCAGCTGGATACCGGGGCTCTGGCAGCCAAGCAGGCATCAAATGGAACCCAAAAGACATTTATATTGGTGTGTCTGCGGTGCAGTTGGTGGGGAGCCAGAAGAGCGCTGCGCTGGGGAAGGACGCTGTGGGCCATCGGCTTCGCCAGCGAGAGCAGATGAATGTGCTGATGTTGGCTGACAGGGAGTTGGTGGATGCAGAGCTCTTGTCCTATAGGGACAGTGTAGGGGATGAGGACTGCTTACGCCACATGGATGACTTGCAGGTAAACAGCCGTAGCACTGCGGTGGTGGTGAGGTCAGTGTGTAGTTTCTCCTGTTGTCAGAGGGTGTCCTTCCACCCCACACACAAAGGTTGATGGGTAGTGGCTTGGTGCATACCTCTCACCAGACCTCTCAGGTTCCCCACACAGTGAGAAAATGGTCTGGGGAGTGTGAAACCCTGCCGTGCCTCGTCAGAAGGGATGAAAGTGAGTGAGCTTTGGTTAAGGATTTCTCTCCGGTGCTGAGCGGCGCATCTTTTCTCTGAGGCACAAAGCTGGGTTGTCACATGCAAACACAAGACTTTTGTTACCAGGCAGCAAAAGTTTGCTCTCCTCTCCCCCAGGTGAACATGATGACACTTGCAGAGCACATTATTGAAGCTACGCCTGACAGGATCAAGCGGGAGAATTTTGTGCCAATGGAGTCACCGCAGGTGGAGAGAGCAGAGAGTGCTGCCATGAGCACCACGATGAGCTGGCTGGCCAGTTACCTTGCTGATGTCGATCATCTGCCGAGTGCTGCACAGATAAGGTCAGTGTGAGTTGGGGCGCTGGGCTTTTTAGGTGGGCTCCGTGCTGGGCAGCTGCAGATACTGTTTCTCAGTGGCACTTAATGCGGGTGCTTCCAGCCAGGCGTGCACTCATGCACAGATGTATCATTGCCAGCACAGCTGCACATTCATGGAAGAATGGAAGTGCGTGCAGGAGAGAAGTGTAGCACAATCTCAATAATGCCACAAGGGCTGACTCCTGACTTCTTTTCCCAAAGCCATGCAGTGCAATACAGGCAGGCTTAGAAATGCAGGATGTTGGGTGCAGAGGCAGAGGGGTGCTTGAGTTTCTCCCTTAAACTCACAAATGTTGAATTCCTTGTCTGTGATGCCAGTCCAGCTCCTTTGCAAGCAGTAACTCCTCCTGTGATTTGGTATTTCAGAAATCTGTATAGTGAACCCTTGACCCCTTCTTCAAACACCAGCTTGAGCCCTGCAGGCTCACCCATCAGTGAAATAGCTTTTGAGAAACCCAGCCTTCCTTCGGCAGCAGACTGGTCTGAATTTCTGAGTGCATCCACCAGCGAGAAGGTAGAAAATGAGTTTGCACAGTTAACTCTGTCTGATCATGAGCAGAGAGAGCTCTATGAAGCTGCCAAACTCGTCCAGACAGTCTTCAGGAAATATAAGGTATGTGGCCAGAACATAAAATGTCTTCCTCATCAGATGTGAGAGTACAGTTTGTTGCAGAATAAAATGTGGGTAATATCCACTCCAGGGTCAAACAAAAATTTTGTTTCTGTCGTAATGTTTTCAGTGCTGCTAGCATCCACTCGTTGGTGTTTGCATAGCATCTGCTGTACCAGGGAGAGTATCCCATGCTGTAGTATGTGTTCTGTGCTGGCACAACACTCGAAAATGTCCTCCAAGTACAAGCTCTGGTGAGCTGCATGCTCAGCCCAGGGATCAATTTTGAGGGTTTTCTCTCTTACATGAATTGGATGTAGAGGTGTCTCTGGAAAATGTGTAGATGTGGATCAGACCATGTAACAGTAGCAGGAGGGATTTGGAAGTTGTGCCCTGCAAACTGCTGTGAGCTGCTGTTAAAAACCACTGTCCTGTTTTGGTGCAGTCTGATGATTGCTGCTTTGCTTTTCCACGCAGGGTCGTCCACTCCGGGAACAGCAAGAGGTGGCTGCTGCTGTCATTCAGCGTTGCTACCGAAAATACAAACAGGTAATCAAGGAAGTCAGATTTTCTGAACCAAACAAGTGCCACAAACACAGCCTTCTGTAGTGGGAATTTTTCCTGTATGCATTTTACCCTGCTCAGGCAGAATTAAAAAGGGAAGAAAATGTGTATCCTGAATCTTAATTCAGAGGATTCTTCCTTGAAAGGATTTGGCTTTGCTGTGAGACAGAGGGCAGTAACATATCCTGTATTGGCCAACATGCATGCCTGGTGAGACTGTTCTCTAACTAGTTGCTTGCCAAATTTCATTGTGAAATTGAAGTTGGTTTTGCCTTGGATGAGGGTGAAGATGAAAAATGAGGTTGTTTTATTTTGCACATCCTAAACTTCTAAGCTATAGCAAGTCCTGTGCTAAAGCTCATTGCTGCTTGTTCCAGGACTGAGACTGTTCTCCAGTCTCTGGTTGGAGACAAGTTTTTAGGCTGAGTTCTCAACCCCAGAACAAGAAGTTTGTTTTGGTTTGGCTTGGGTTTTTGGTGGGTGCTGCAGCCCACCTTGTGCAGTTGCTGTGCCTTCGACTCGAGCTGTCTGCTCCACACAGGCATGTGGTGTAAGATGAAAGGCAAGATGCTGAACTCTTTTCCAACCTTCAAAAACATTTATTTGAGAAGCATTTCTGGTGCCCAATGACCGCGTTGTGCTGTACATTCAAACTGTCCCGTGTCGGTCCTGGAGTGATGCTTCCTGTAAACAGGAAACCGAATTCCTTTCAAAAGCTGCTCGGCAAACTGTTCTGTCTGGGATCCTGAAATTTCCTGGAATCGCATCTTTTTGAAAGAAGATGGGTTAATTTTTTTTTAATATATATATATTTTTTCCAATTCTTTATTTGTAGAACTAACATTAACTGTGTATTTTCTGTTTCTCCCTAAGCTTACTTGGATAGCCTTGAAGGTAATACAAACACTGTTTTGGGAACCGTTCCCGTTGGGTGAAAAGCTTTCACATTCAGTATAAAGCAGGAGAACTGGCATTCAGTGAAATGTTTTCACAGTATCTGTGGCAGATAAATCACTGACAAACCAAACCTCTCCAGAAGGGGATGCAGGGGCTGCTGTGCCACAGCATGTCAGCGTAGAAGGACGCTGGAAAAAGCAAATCTCCTGCTTCTACAGAAGCTCATATACACAGTGATGGGCTGAGGTGCAGGCAGTGTTTTGGAGTTTGTTTCCAGAAGAGGAGCTTTCCTTTGCTGCTGCTCATTAGCTGTCACTGTGATCCTTGCCTTGGCATTCAGGGAGTGTAGGGGAGCGCCTGTCCCAACCATGCAGCCACTGCTCTCTGTGCTGTGCCTGCTGCCCAGAAGGCTTTGACTGTTGGCATTTAGGATCACTGTGCCATGGATTCCTTAGACCACTATCTCCTGTGTGGTGCTGCACATGCTGGAGGCACAGCCACTCTTACTTTGGTCGCTGCCAGTAATTTTCTGCTGTAATGACAGATTTTCCAGCTACACAGCGTCTTGCTGTAAGCATTCTGAAATCAGCTGAGCTTTTTCTAAAGCTCACCAGGACGCAAGGCGTGCTTTTCCTGGAGGGAATGCATCCCCAGTTGATTTTCCATTCTCAGCTTCCTCTGGCCTCTGTTGGGGTGAGGCAGAGGTTGGGTCATTTCTCCATCTTTCCTCTTCTCAGGGAGGGAAAAGAGGAGGAGAGGCAGTTGTGGGCAGGCCAGAGAGTCAGGAGCAGAGCAGGTAACGCCATCCAAGTGTGAACGCTGCTGGGCTCTGCATGCAGAGGCTGTGATTTTCTCTTTCACATGCCATACTCTGCTGCTTTGTCACTGCATTACTGAGATCAGCGCAGGCCTATGAGGACATTGGAACAGTCGTAGCTCACATCACCATTTCAGACTTAAACCCTTCTATTCGGGGGTTTGTAACTCAGCCACAGAAGTGCCCTCTGGGCTAAAAATTGGAAGAAAAAACACGGCCAACCTGCGAGCAGACTTATTTAAAATAGCTAATTTAAAACTGCAGTCTGCTCTATTTACAAATGTATAAAAGCAGGAGAAGGAAAAAAAGAAAAGAAATAATGACAAAATATAAGTGCACCTAATGACTGCTTCAATTCCAAAAAGTGAAATTTGGTAAATGGTGGTCTGTGATAGTACTGGAGGGATTTCTTGGTTCTTGTGGGATCATGTTGGGGTTTTTTTATTCGTTTGCTTTTTTATTTTTGCTTTCCCACCGGACACATAAAGTCCTCTACAATATCTTCAGGCGTTGCCCCTACAGGGCTGCGGGCTGCGTCTGTGTCCCGTCTGCCCAATAAAGTGAGCAGATGTCAGAGCTGCTAAAATGAACTTCCCGGAACAGCAGGAAGTCACCAAGTTGTGAATGTGATAAAGCTTTCCAAGTAACCTCTGTCATAGTGTCAGCTCAGAGGTGTGAGAGCAACTTCTTTGTACTATTTTGCATCTCTATTACTCTTATAAAAGATGGCTGTTAAACAATAGGTGTGGTGGTGTTTGATCTCTGCTGAGCAGCCTCCTACTTGCTTGTTTTAAAGGGGAAAGGGCGTACCATACAGATTGGCTTTTAAAGGGTTCCTGCTTCACTGGGAAGTGTGTGGAGAGAAGCAACACTGCGGTGCTGCAGAGGGTTTCCAATGCGGGTGACAGATTGTAGAGGTTTCCAGGTTCAGTCAGTGCTGGCAACAGACTTCAAACACAATTAGTTTTGTCTATGCCATAGGCTCGGTCTTAGACTTGCTAAATTACTGTGGGTTTTGGTTTAAGTGAGAGTGGAATGTTACTCTATTTGAGATGTTTGGACTGAAACGGATACGTGAGCAGCCCAGACGTTTGCAGCACTCTGTGATGGCATGGACAAAGCTGATTTAATTTGGTTCTTCAAAATGTTGTCCTGGGACAGTGAAATACACCTGTGAACAGCAAATAAGGTTCTGAAAGTAACTCCTTTGAAAGATATGATTTAGTGAGAGCTTTAAGAAGGTTCTGCACCTATTTCACAGCTCTCATCGGCTGTTGCCTTTTTTCTCAGAGTCCCAACCAGTCAGTAGGTGCTCATTTGTTTTCCACTGTGTCTCAGTGGCATGAGAGCCTTTTGCTATAGGAATTTGCTTTTCACTGGGGCTTCTGGAGTGCCTCAGCCTCTCTTTGTTTCTCTCCTAGTATGCACTTTATAAAAAGATGACGCAAGCTGCCATTCTTATCCAGAGCAAATTCCGAAGCTATTATGAGCAGAAGAAATTCCAGCAGAGCCGACGGGCCGCGATGCTGATCCAGCAGTACTACCGCAGCTACAAAGAATGTGGGAAGAGGAGGCAGAACCGTCGGACGGCCACCATTGTGCAGCAGAAACTCAGGTGAGCTGCCAGGCTGTCAGAAACCACCAGGATACGTGTGTGTCATTGCTTAGATCAGAGCTGCGCTGTAATGGACGTAGGTGGTGGGATAAGTACAATGTTTTGTAGGATAATTATTCTTGCATTTAGTGCTAGTCCCCCCTTTTTCGTTTGTGCTTCAAAGTTGGGTTTTTTTTGTGTGTGTGTATGTTTAGAAGCAGTCTGCTTACCAAGAAGCAGGACCAAGCTGCTCGCAAGATTATGCGGTTTTTACGACGCTGCCGCCACAGGTATGACATCACCCTCTGGTCAATGCCCTTCAGCAGAGCAATGTGATGTATTCATGTGTGTCAGCAGTGAGTGCAGTGTAAAGGGGAGCAGAATCGATTCTATTCAGATCTTTTATGGAATAACACAGCACAGCTGATTTCAAGATGAACTGGCAGAAAGGAAATCTCTAACTTAGGAATGCTGCAGAAAGGCAGTCATCACACCGAGCTGCACTGCTGGGATGGTAGAGCACCCAAGGTTGTGCTGGACAGACTCGGGTGGAAGTTTGAGCAAAGGAAGGCAGAAGATTCTTAAAGTTGGACTTGAGGAAGCTTGAGGGGGGGAAAAAAAGAAGGATATCCTTTGAAGGATAGCAGCAATGCATGAGTGCTGCACTGACCTGTGCACTACACAGAGCATTTGTGGTATGTGCTAAAGAGCAAAATGCGATGTCTGGAATACACCAGAAACCATCAGTGAGGTCACTCTCATCAAATACAGCTTCTTTATAGTAGACAAGTGGAATGTGCCGACAGAGCAGTAGACAAGTTAGTTCAGCCACTCCACACAGACCTCAGCAGATTGGAGTACAGGTAGATATGACAGTGACTCCTCTGTGCCACTGTGGGAACCTCAGTGCGCTTGCCCACACACTTCCTTGTGCCTCACACTACTGCATCTGCCGTGTGCAGGTGTCTGTTCTGATTTCCTGATTAAAAGGCACCAAATAGCCTAGGCTGCAAACTGTAAATTGCCTGGACAGAGGTGAATTCAGATTTTTCTGACTCTACTCTCCATTCTCACCACATGTGCATTTCATCCTCTAACAGCAGGTCAGACAGTTGGCAAAGAAGCACAGATGGCTTCTCGTTGTCAGTGGGGTGTGTGGAAGGGACTGGAAGGTTTGGTTGTGTTCATTAGGCAGGTTGGTCCCACTGAGGTGGACAAAGACTTGGAACTTCCTTCCGCTTGAGGTCCAGGCAGTCTGTGGAGAAGCCACCTGTGTTGTCATCTGTGGAGACTGCAGAGCACTCACATTGTTAGATCTCTAGCTGTCAGCTAACCTTGACTCTTCAGGAGTGCCCATAGTTCCAGCAGTTTTTCTTGCCTTCAGTTCATCTTGTTCCATGTTCTCAGCATTTCCTATTCCCTTTGCAGTGCAAGACTTACTCATTTGCATCACTACTTACTCATTTGCATCACTGAAGTTTGCAGGCAAATCCTTCCCTGTTGCCTATGCTCTGATCTTTCCTTTGAGCAGCAAAAGCCTCTCTTTTCCTTCTGAAATGAAAACAGTCACCTTCGTGATCAGGTACTTTCTCCAAGCAATCACAAGCGTTTTTGTCTGAACCCACCCTTGTTCCCCATTCAGACAGTATTCCTGATGATTGCAAACAAACAATGGGTGCTCTGTGCCTGGAGCTCTTTTCATAATGGATGAGTAGATGTTGCTGAAAATAAGAAGGATGTAAGTTTTTGTTTTTGGCTTTAGAGAGGATATTGGAGCTCTAATGGCTGAGTGTTAGCATACAGCACAGGGACAAAAGTGATTATTCATCATCACCAGTCATTCTAATGATCAGACACATCTTTTCCATTTAACATTGAAAAAAATAGTTGTCCATCTCCTGTTATATTGACAAAAGTCTGGTGAAGGATACGCATCAGCCGTAACGTGGTACCAGCGTGACTCATCTCTGAACCGTTGTTTGTAGAGAATGAAAAATAGAACTTTCCTGACCTCACAGCAGATCTTTGCCCATCCACGTTCCTTGCCCAGGCCACGTTCCTTGCTCAGCTGACTTAACTTCCAAACTTTGCTGTGACAGCTGCTGTGGGTTGGCCTGTCTCCTGTCCTGTGTCAGACAGCCAAAGGTTTCGTATTTAATTGTTTGGGAAAGACTCCACCTATTCAGTGACCTCTGACTAACTTAGATCTGTAAGGAAAATGGAGAGTTCTGGAGTAGGTTTGGGTTAGCTGAACAGAATCCTTGTATGGTCCATACAATCAGCTTTCACCAGGAAGATAATGTACTATTTCATATTCATTCTCTGAATTGTATGAAAATTTACTTCTTCTTGGAAGTATCTACACCATTACTACTGTGATTATGATCTGCAGTATCTTCTGTGGAGTAGTGTTTGGATTGAAAGAAGGGAAGGCAAGATGCAGCTGGAAATACCATGGGGATGACAGTATTGGGTTTGTTTTACTTAGTTCCTACCCTAGAACACCTAAACATAGGACTGCTCTTCCCTGGTGAAGAGAAGAAGTCCGTTAGGTAGGAGGTGGGAAGGGTTCTTTCTCTCCAGGCAAGCAGAAGTGTTATCTCCTTCTCTCTGAAGTGAAACTCTTGGTAAGGTATGGTTATTGCCATGTGTGTGCTAATAGCTCTTTGGTATTGTTTTGCAATCTGAAGCCCACTGGTGGACCATAGGCTGTACAAAAGGGTGAGTGTAGCTGCCTGCTAGCCAGTTCCTCTCTTCCATTTTAAATATTTTTGCTTTCTGCTTGCTTGCATGGGGCTGCAGCCAAGATACGCCAGTAAGTTTCACCTCCATTAATTATATAAACAAAATCCTGTATAAACTAACCCTACTGCAATGACTAACACTGCTGCTTTTATAACAGGACAGAGCTCCGCAGTAGATATTACCAATGCATGAGTGTGTGAAAAAGGACATGTGTATTCATCATGGGCATGCTTAGGTGCTGGTGTTGATGGGATATTTTACAGTATCCAAAGTAACTATTAGTAGATCTTGGAACTTGACTGGGTCTGCACTTACACACCCTCACTGTGTAACGATGCCCTTTGTCATGAGCAATGCGATGGTGTTCAGGTTATAAGCTGCTGTGCAGGTGCAGCTTACACTAGATGGGTATTTGATTCTGCCTGAGCCAAAGTGAAGTAGAAGAGCTCTTTACATCCTAAGATGGCTAAGCACCAATACTTGTCTCCCAGAAGTTGCTTGTGGTAAGTTACATGCCTGGTTGATTACTTTGACAGGGCCAGATCTTTGACAGCTGCTTCTCTAAGCTGTTACTGTCAGTCCATGCTGTGGGAAAGTTAAAACGATGAATAAAAATTGCTGTAACTCTTAGAATCACTGCTGCGTAAGCTTCTGTTGGATGTGTCGTTCTCTGTGTGGACAGTCTGCTCTCCTGTGTGCTGGACCACGCATGGCAGGCTGCTTTGCTGCTCAGCAGAAGGGTGAGCACACACTGAAGCTTTCCAGCCCTGCAGCTGCCTGATGTGCTTTGGCTAGCAGGTGGTTCCCAGTCAGAGAGCAGATGCTGCTGCAATTGCAAGATGTGCTGAAGCTGATCTATGTTGCAGTCAGGGCAGTGGTACAGGAGACAGCGAGGAGGAGTGTATGTGTCAAACCTTGGAGCACGAATGTTGGAAGCTTGCTTGTTTCCATGAGTGGTTGTTGGACAATAATGAATTTTCTGTCAATACAAATCAAGGCTACTTTGTGCGTTTCAGCCTTTTGTAGCGTGTGTGCATGGGAAGGAGAGCAGCAGCACAGCTGCTGTGTAGCACTGGGTGCTCCACAGGGAGACTGAGTGCCACGGCAGCGTTGGAAGTTTCAGTAAAAGCAGTCAAAATCTTTGAACGAATTATGGAATTAAAAAGGCTTTGAGCTAGTGATGAGAAAAATACTAAGCAAAACCCAACTGCTAGGTGTGGTGTAGCTGTCTGCCCTTAGCTTTATTACTGCTGCCTGCAGGGACAGATGTAGTGCTGGTAGCTTTTCCAAGGGAAGGACCGTAATAGCATTCTTCATATAAAGTGCTGTAGGAGTAAGCATTGATACCCCATGCTGGAGTGTGTTCCATCTCCTCATTCCCATCTGACAGTGAGGTGAGGGGCTCATGGGAATATTGTTTTGCTGGTGTTAAAAATCATACAAGAACCCATTGCAGAAGGAGACATTTAGGTACATTTATGGTGTTGGTAACGTCCTTCCTCTCCTGGTAGCTCAGTGTTTTATTTTTGAGGCACTGATTTGTCATTCTATACATTGTTACAGCCAATGGTGCAGCCATTTGGATTTGCATCTAAAGCCCATCACCAAAGAAGCACAGATCAGGAAAAGAATACCAGTCATGCAAAATTAGCGTGTTCCATGGTGAGGAATGGGCAGTATGTGAGGGGGGAGGCTGTGACAACCTTAGCATGTCTCAGCAAAAACTGTTCTGGGTGCATAGGTGATGCTTTCCTTACTAAAGAGCATTTGGCTTTGCCTTCGTATGATCTTTTTATTTGGCTTAAGTGAGCTTTCTTTCACTGCCTGGAAAAGGTTAACCATAAAATACCTATCAAATATCTCTCGTGAAGTATATCAGCTGCTGTTCTGCCAAAAAAACTCCGTTAGGGCAAATAATTCTTTGCTGCCTTGAGTTTGTATAGCAGTGTATGTCCATCTGCTGTCTCCGCACGCACACATGGAAAGCTTTTTGGGCTCTCTGACGTGCACAGGCTGACATGTCCCCCCTCCTGAAGGAATGTTGCATACAGAGTGCAGGTATTCTGTACACTGACGCTGCTCGTGCAGTCTGCATATGCAGATAAACAGTCGCAGTATTTGCATCTGTGTTTCAGTTTGAGATAAATATTTTTCATTAATTTTCCTGGATTTATTTGGGTTACATTACACGAGGATCAGAGAAATGAGACAGGGAGAGATTTGTTTTTGTCCAACTGAAGTGAGGCTAAATCTAGTGTAGAAGTTAAGGAGCTTTATAGACGAAAGGGGTCCGGTGGTTACTGCCTTGAAGTCATAGCTTTCATCTCAGGGAACGCAGTGTCAGCTGGCCTGGGGAAGTCATCCTCTGCAGCTCCCTGTGAAGGAGACCTTTGTTGGTAGGTGTAGGACATGATCACGGGTGTCTGCCTGAGCTGTGCCTTCTCCTCTGGGCTGGGATCAGCAGCAGATCCTGAGGTCTCTTCATGCTGGCTGCTCTCTTTGTGCCTGTGGTAAAACTTCTGTCCCCTCTGGGACAGAACAGGCACAGCTGCTGCCACCTGTGATGAGCAGAAAATATTCATTGGTGGCCTCTTTCGTTTAGAAGTAGATTCTCCTTCCTTCTACCTCGTCTCTTATTATTTCGTTAAGTGCTGCTCTCCAGTTTGGGGAGCGTGCACATAGTGCCTGAATTCAGTTCCTCTGGTAAGTATAACTTTATTTTGTACCTGAGAAAACAACGATCGCTGTGTTTTGTTGTTCTCTACATAACCTTCCCTTTCTCGGCATTTCAGTGACAAACCTTTTCCTACTCCACTACAACCAGGATTTCTAGTTTATTTTATTTTATTCTTTTAATATATGCAATTGCATTTAAGTACCTGATTTCTTCTTAATCATATTGAGAATGGTGGAACGTTACAAGGGATTGAAAAGTCCCACTTGTTCAAGTTTAGGAGGAAATATATTGGGATATGCAGCACTGTGAGAGACGTTTCCAAAGTAATTTCTTCTTTCATTTCCCTCTTGCAGGGGCTGAATGTGTTTGGAGCTCAAATGTGTGTGTTAAATTGCAGACCGCGTACTCTGGGGTGTCATTCTTATTGGGCCTTTCTGTCTTTTTTGTCTTGCAACCCAAATGAGATATCTGGAGAAAGGCAAGAGCTCCCTTTTCTTAAATGTCCCACAGGCTATTTCAGCTCTCAGAGCAACAGGTAACTTGCCGGAAAAGACTTCCCTGGCTCCTGCACCCTGTGCGTTACACCGATCTTCAGCATTGCCAGAACTTACTGCTGTAAAACTCACAGATTCATTAAACATTTCCCTGGCTGGGCATTATGGAGTCAGTTTGATGAAGCAGCTTTGTGTTACGCTTTACCCATGAAGCCATTGTTTGCTGTAATTCTTTGTAAGTAGGCCTAATTCATCTGCTGATGCACTCCCATACGAGACTCGGGAGGGCACGTGGGGAGAGAAGCTGCTGCTCGCTTCTGGGGCTGCTTTCCACATTGCTTCAGCACGTAATGATGCAACGTCCTTGTGGTGCCCAAGGAAGTCCCACTGCTCAGAGGGCAGAGGCTTGGTCTGACAGAGCTGTGTGGAGCGGGACGTAGGTCTCCAGTGTTGAGCTCAGAGGTGAAATCATCTTCTTGTCCCCTCTCGTGTGTCAGCGCCATGGCTGTGATTCGGACCCCTTAGCAGTCACTGTCTCTATTGCACGTGCTTTTTTCTGTCCATCTGCTCTTCAGCGATTGCTGAGCGAATGACTTTGTACTTCAGAGATGCTTACATCTAGAGAAAGTTTGTTTGAGGAGGTTTTTGCTGACTGCTTCCTCACTGCAAAAACGAAAGTGCAGTCCTTGTAATTCTGTGCATGGTTCTAGTGGCTATTGAAGTGAGGTGGTACTTCTTGTTGGGGACAGCTGCAGCCCAGTGCCCTTTCTGGTGTGCTCTGGCTTGCACTTGAACTCACCACCAGTCCTCGTGCAACAGGAGGTGCTTTAGAAGAGATCCAAACTGGTGCCTATGAACGTCTGCTGAGATCTGTATGCCATCTGTCAGCACGTGGCCTGCTGGTATGATGTGCTCTCAGCTCTCTCACTTTCCTGTTATTAAAACAAACAAACACAAAGTTTCACAATTAGTCTGCCAAACAAGGCTGAAATGTCTTCTCTGAGAACATTCTTCTTTTCTGCAGTAGTCTGCACTGTTCTGTAAAATCCATTAGTGTGCTTTCCCTTAGAGTACTTTATTAATGCTTGTAACTCCAAGTCCTACACTTTGGCCTTGTTCCTTTATCTGAATTTTGAGAGTACAGATACAGGAGGCAAGGTAGGTTGCCTTCCAACATGCAGGCAGTGCTATGCTGCTCACTTAAAAGCTGTCCTAACAGCACTTCATCAGTGTATTTTTATTTTTAAGGGTCCTGCCTTGTCCAGAGCTATTTCCCGTCAAGTTTTAACTGCACTTGAAAATGCAGGAGGTTTATTATGCAGAGGATTAACAAAGAGGAGATGCTAACCCCAGGCTCATGTTGACACTTCATACTGCAGTAACAAAATCAAAGCGAAGATCTGAGTAAAGAACTACTTTAAGTTCTACTCTGGCTGTGCTATGCTGCAGTTCCTCAGCAGAGCAGCACTGCCTCAAACCTGCAGCCAGAAGAGGGGAGAGCAACTCAGGGCATCCCTGGATCTTACTCCGCAGAGTGAGGAGGAGGGAACACCAGCCACAGGCTGCAGGTCTTCCTGCACGCTGCTGGTGCAGTGGGCAAATAAAGAACTCCTGGTACCTATCTGCACTCCCATTAGAGCCCAATTCTGTTTACTGCACACAGAGGTTAGTTTAATTAAAAACAGATGTAGTAGCTTAATAAGTTGGGATGGTCATCATCCTGAAGTTTATAAATGCGGTGGAATTCATAGTTTCTTTCAAGCCATTTTATACTGAGCTGCATCTGTCAGTGGTGGTACACGTGACAAATTTTCAAAGGCTGTAACTGCACGATAGGGAAATTCAATACTAGTATGTGACTGGGTTTTTAATCAATAATTATTGCACTTGCAGAATTTTTATCAGCCTGAAAATATGTAAATCAATGTAAAACACATTTAACCAAGGAAAGCGTTGTATGTTTCTCAGCAGATCTGTGCTAGTGCAAATGTTGAGTGTAATGGTAACTTGTAATACAGTAACTAGTAATATAGTATAGCTATAATAACTCGCCTTGGCATGTATGTTCCAGTTAAATAGATCCAGTAGGTCTGCACCAGTACAGATATTGCATGCTGTAGGTTAAAGTTTGCAGCAAAGCATGTCTTGCATTCTTCCTGCAAAAATGCTTTGTTAGTGTAGATTTTGCATGTTGAAGTGCTAAAGTGAGGTGTAGCATGTCTCAATGAAAGAGCCACTAGCTTAAATAATGTGCATGTTCTCAGTAAGAGATCTACAATAACTGCTTAATTTTACATTGCAGTACTGAAGTGCAACAGAAAACACTTGGAAGTTGCACTGCTAACCATGCATTAATAGATGGTATCTTGAACAGATGTATAGTTAATCTAAACCTTAACAATGGACTACTGCCCTGAGGCAGGTGTTTTTCTAGTACAGCAATTACCTTGATGCAATTTCTGTTTCTAAGTGGTGCAGCAAAAGAAACATTACAGATTTCAAAGGAGAGGCTGCTTTTCTATTACAAGAAAACTAAATATACTGAAGATGGTCAAATTGTCTTTGTGAACGTTTTCAGTTCACTGCACCAACTCTCATAGGTTTACTGTAGTTGAAAGGATGATGTGGACTTACCAGCAGGTAACACCATAACACATCACAGCCCCCTGGAGGCAAGCAGGGCCTTGCTGTCTACTGTACAGTGCTGAAGCCCTCGCTCAGAGCTCTGATGTCTGCAGGATCTTTTAGATGCCAGCTTGTGCAGAGCCACAATTTCCCTGTAGAAAACATCACTGTGATACTAGGAGGAACTGAGGCTCAGCACAGCACTGCCCAAGTAGGCAGTCAGAGCACATGGTGCTGCTTGCTGCCTTGCCCTTTCTTCTGCCGGGAAATCAGAGCAGTTCTTGGCATCTCAGAGAGCTGTACTGAGGCTTCCTCTCTGCCAGACTTGGGTTTCAGGAGTGGCAGGGCCTCTTGAAGGTAGATCTGCAGGCTCTGAGAATGGCACACACATCTGGACTGACAGAACCCTCTGTCTTTCCAGGCATGATATTCTCAAGCAGCGTGAGATAACCAGCAAAGGTCTGACCTTGCTTATATCAGTGTGATTTGTTCACGGGCTCCTGTTTCCTCAAGTTTCACAAGCTGAGTGTCTGTGAGTGCTGGAGCTGTCAGTGAGCTCAGAGTTAAAGCAGCCAGCTCCTCCTGACTGCTGTCGTTGTATATACAGAAAGATAAATAAAACAGTGACACGAAGGTCAGTTCACACCCTGAGCAAGCTGGTAGAAGAGCCAAAAGATAACATATGAGTGGAAGTCTGCTTAAAGAGGCTACAGACGGACATTTCTGCAGCTTAGCTCTCCTGATACCTCTTAGTGTCTAATTTTTATTTATTTAGCCTTCACTAAATTTGTTTGCTTTTAATTGGATTCTGTTACGTGGATTTGCAGCCCCAATGTGATTCTGTATACTGTACCTTTGTTACCTGTGCTTTCAAGTTGTAACTGGAGTAATTGGGCACATACACGTCCAGCTAAATCACCTTAATTTAAGCTGTCTTCTGCTCCCTTAGGGGTGGGCGTCCCCTTGCAGGGCAGGAGGAAAGGCAGAGGAAGCAGGCAGGGCACAGGGTGGCTCCATGGAAGGGAGCTGTGAGCTGCAGAAGCTGAGCAGCCTGCCCAGCTCTGCCACACCGCCTTCAGGTACAGGGGCTGCCAGTTTGGTTGGGCTCCTTTGCTGACATGCATACCACAGCAATGCTGGAATGAGAGCACGTTAGCTCAGTAGCTGGAAATTAGGTTATGTGTCCAAATGTGCTTTGTCTCAGATTTCTGCTGTCCCACTCTTGCGCTTCCAACTGTTTATGGTGTCAGCAGCGTACGGCCCTGCTGCCATTGCTCTGAGAGTTGTCTCTTTTGTACTGGAAGATAGAGGGAGGAATGGCTTTGATTTTTCTGTATTGAAGGTGTTTTGGATTAGAAGTGTTATATAGCTCCTCTTTGTTTTTTCAGAGTGAAAGAATTGAAAAAGGCCAAGGAACTTGAAGATAAGCAGCAGCATCCCGTAGCAATGTGACATTGCTTCTCAGACTGTTTTCATTTTCTGTTTTTAGCAGAGACATGCAACAACAACAAAAATACCCACTGCAGTTCTGGAAATACCATCTGCAGGATTTTAACAGTAATGTTTTGGTCATTGCATTTGCACTTTCATGGACAACATTTAATTTGTTCAGCAAGACATCTTGGAACTCAATCTTCTGTTGGATCATAGGAATAAAAAAAAGACACCAGGAAGAATTTGTGAGTTGCTTCATTCTCCCAGAAGGAAGAAGCGATTAATTATCCTTTTCATATAGGGCTGTATTGAACAACATGTGGAACTGTACAAATATTATACCAAAAATATTGTTCAGAAAAGGTGGGAATGCACAAGCAACACAAGAATGGTGTTCCTGCACTTGTCGGTCATCTCCAAGAAACTGAAGCTTTGAGAGTCTCAGTGGAGGGGCTTAGATCAGTACGTCCTTATTGGGTCCATGCATCCTCATTTCCTTTGCACATCTGTCCTTTGTGTTTTATTTAAATCTCTACAGCACACTTAATGCAACTTTTTAAATCTGCAGGTTTTTAATACATCCCGTGGGAACTTTGAGAAGGGGTTGGCATGTGAGATAAACGGGTAACGTGCAAGAAGCAGAGAGAGCAACTTAAGCAAGTTTTAAAAAGTTTCTTTTTGGTATTTTTACTCTAGAACCTGCAAAAACGTATCAGTTGCCATGTATTTTCTCTCATATTCAGCACTTTATTTTCTAGCCTTACTTTCACGTACTGTTATTTTAATTAAGTTCTTACAATAATTTGCAAGACATGTAGCTTTTTGTCGTAACTGTCAAACCTCTTGTCGTTTTGCAGAGTCACATACATTTGTTGCCTGGACATTTTATACCACCTAAAGAGCAGAGTGGTGCTGCATTCTGGCCAGTAAATTTCTTTTTTTGGCTCTTTCATCAAATCTGGGCAGTTTCTGTATATATAGAAGGTAGAAATGGAAAATGAGAAAAAAATATTTGAAAGGGAATATATTGATTAATTACTAAATATTTTATTCATAAAGGGTCAATAACTTGGCAAGATAAAATTATTATTTGTATAGTTTTGTCTGAATGAACGAGAAGAGTGTGGATGTATTGTTTGTACATATTGTATATATTAAAACAAAGAGATATGTGCATGAACTCAAGAAAAAGAAATGAACAAAAGCAAAGCATTAGTGGCTATGGTCTGTAAAATGAAACAAAAACTTTATTTCACTATAAGAAACTTTATTTTAAATGTTCTTTAGAAGAACATTTTTGCTAAAGCATGACTAAATGGCAAAAAAGAGCTACTGTATTTAGACTTAGGAAAAAAAGGCAGAGCAACATTACTTTAAAAAAAAAAAAAAAAAAAGAAAGAAAAAAAAAAAAGGATATGTTTACATTTGATTTTGGCTACCAGGAGTTCGGTTTGGTTGAATTTCCGTTATTTATTCCTTCCTTCTTTTTGCCCCCCCGTCTTTTTTTTCCTTTTTATTTTTTATTTTTTTTTGCCAATGGTGCCAAGTAATGTGAATGCTAATATTGCTTCAGAAACTTACGTTACTTTTGCAAAGCAGATAATCATAAAAGTACAGAAATGTATCTAGCTTAACACCATACACTCACTCCAATAAAGAACACTTAGAATGAATATAAAATGAAGAAAAAAAAAAAAAAGAAATAGTATGAAAGTAGAAAATATCTTTCACATTTTCATATCTCCTGCTGGAAGTCAGAAAATGTAATAAAAATTGCACAAAAAATTAAAAAAAAAAACTAAGTAAAACAAAAAAAAAAAAGATGCAAACTGATCTCGTAGGGGTGTCATGGTATATTGCTATTTCCACATAGTGAGGAGCCAAAGAAATTAGTGTTGTTGTTTTTTTTTTTTTTAATTGAAGTACTAATTTAAAACTGTCACAAATTCTCAACAATGGGAAGCAGGTTCTGATCTCGGCTACCCAGGAATGTAAGGGAAGCAGCTCCGAAGCCGCCGTCTGTCTGAGTCAGTTCCGTTCCGTTCTGAGACAGTTCCGTTCGTCTGTCTGAGGTCAGAAGCTGCTCCTCTTGTCTGTTTTGCTAGCAGCAGCGGCAGGTCTCTGAGCGGACTGATGTCACTTTGGGATTGTTCCTATGGGAGGAATCGTTCTGGCTCGATCCCGGCCACCAACTGCAATGTTTAAACGGAAGGCTTTCTGTGAAGCCTACAGATACTCACACATAAGAAGCTTTTAAACTGGTGTCTTTAAAAGAAGAGTAAAAACAAAGATTGTGGCAAAAACAAACAAACAAACAAAAAACATAAAAACAAACCTGGGGTCAGTGCTCTTGGTGCCTTTTCTATAATTGTACCTGTTTTTAATTACTTCTTTTCACTGCCAGCATTGAATTACAGTAGATGTGTGCTATAGCTCATTATCAGAATTATCTTGTACATTTCTGAATTGCTGCTTTATGACCTGATTCAATTAAAAAAAAAAAAAAAAAAAAAAAAAGGAAAGAAGAATGGTTCTCATGCTGTGGCTTTGGGCAGCTCATAGCCTCAATTTATTGTTATGGAATCGGGACTTTATGTGTTAAATTTTCCTTACACACAAAAACAGAAATGCAGAAGAATCTCCCTTGGAATGAATAGGAAATGCTCTGTATTAATACTGGAGGAACTCTGACATTCTGAAATTGAAACGTTGCTCCACACATTCACCAGTGCGTGACGATGCGAATTGATCTTTTCCTAACAAGAGTAGTGACCTCAGTGGAAATATTTTAATTCCCTGTATTTAGAAAAATGATTCAGTAATATACAGAGCTATTTCAAATTACTCTTCCAGATCCATGGGCCTGGTGGTGTATCTACTAACCTAGATCCTGCTTCAGCAAAACGTTTAAGCGTGTACTTGGTGTTAAACGTGCAAGAAGTTCCGTAGGGTCAGCAGAAATACTTGCCTGCTTGAAGCCAAGTACAGCTTCTAAGTGCTTTGTTGTGTGGGTCATAACCCTTCAGTGCATCGCATGGGAGTTGCAGAGACTCCCACTGAAGTGAAGTGATTCGCTCACCCTTCTCTCCATTGTGGAACTCCTGTTTTCACAGAAGATAAACTCAGTGCAGCTTCCCGGGAAAGTTCAGATTCCCAAGTGCCAGGAGCCAAACCTTCTGTCTTCTGATCATGGAATTGCTCCTTTGTGAAACGCATTTGACAGCAGTAATACTGTGTGAAAGAAATACAAAATATAACATGAACCCCCTCTCTGGTTGCACGCTTATGGCAGTTCCACACAATAGCTGGTGCCCAATGGGGGGTCCCCAAGACTTGCATGTAAAACTAGTATAGATGTCTTCTTTTTTGTAAGTTTTATTTTTGTAACCGTGCATGTGAAGCATCACTGAATCAATGGATCTGTTGAAGAACTCAGCTGCTGGAACCATGCAAAATGTTTTGAATTGCCCTTAAAATATGGAAAATGTTTTCTGAATGCTTTATATTCTTTCTGCTGTAAATTAAAAACAAAGAAAATTTCCCCATACAAAGTGTCTGCCTTTTTTTAAACGATCTGTTCTAGTTTAAAAAGGTGACATTTCCCTTTAGTGGCCATATGAAACCACAAAATAATGTGTTCTGCTACAGAAGCTGCTTGTTAACACCACCTAGTCTCTTCCTGCTTCTAACTGGAACGGTCCAAAGTCTGCCTGCCTTTGGGTCTGCGGCCTTTGGGATTCACTGCAGGCAGCAACGCAGCCTCCGGATCTTCGGCCCCTTCTGCTCCTGCATTCTGGTGTGCAGCCTTCAGCCTGGGCACAGAACACACAGCAGGGAGCAGCTCCTCCAGCTCTGCACAGCGCTGTGCTGCAGCAGCCCCATTCAACACCTGCAGCTGAAGAGAAAGCGTGTGATGCCATCTGCCCTGCTGCCCTGCTGCCCTGCGGCCTCACCGCCAACAGAAGCTTTTGTTGTGTGTTGGCTGCTCTTACATCAAAAAAAGAACTGTTTTAGATCTCTGGTGCTGGGTAACAATCCTCTCAAAGCTTCCTGTGCAGGTTTTGCCAAAATGACAACACAGAAGTGTTAAAAACCCAGTAGTCCCCAAAAACACAGGTTCAGCCTAGCTGCAGATTTGCTCAGTGGAAATTAATTTCCAAGGTGACATGCAGTGTTTTTTTTAAGTTGTAAAATACTCTGAAGGTTCCATCGGGTGATGACACTGCATGTCTGTAAATACCTGACCAGCCCTTGGCAGTAGTTCTGCTTAGGTCTTCTGTCACAGCTTAAAGCAGTGCTGCCCAACAGGTGAGCACTGAGTGGGGTGAAGAGCTCTTCTGCGTCGGTTTCGTTCCTACAGAGCAGAACGATGCCCTTTTTGGGACGCAGTGCTGGAGTTGGCACAGCTGGCAGCAGGGCGCTGCCTCCAGCACCGCACAGAGAATGGGGGCAAATCCTGGTGAACCTCGAGGTTTGCTAATGCAGAAAACTAGCAGGATTTAGTATCACAATAATTTTAGTAACTGAGCATTAATGGCTACTTATTGCACTGGGCAGATACGTAAGTTGCACGAACCGATCTTCAGTAATGCAACCGCGGTACGCGACCGCGAGGCTCTCCAGGCGCGTAAAGCAGCGATAAACGATCCGCTGCTCTGTGGCAGCGCAGCCAATCCTCCCGCCCCGCCCCGCCCCTGTGGGCGTGGCTCACCCGGGCCCGCCCTCTGACGTCATATCCGGGGCAGCTCGCACTTCCTGTCGGGTCCTTTCCGAACGCTTTGGGTGCGCAGCGGCTCCGTTCCCGCGGCAGGATGTGAGTACGGAGCTGCGCCTCAGGAGCCCCGGCGGGTGGGGAACGGCCCGGAGGGGCGGCGGGGAGACCGGCCGCAGCCGGGCGGGTGAAGCAGGAACGGCGGGCGGCTCGGCCCGGCTCGAGCTGCTGATGACGGCCGGGCGCCGCCCGTGGGTGGAGGCTCCCCGGGGCGGCTGCGCTCCGAGACGTGAGAGGCCGAGCGCGGCCTCCGCTGGAGCTGCGCGCCTCGAGCCGCCGGCTACCAGAGCCTTTGGCTGCTGCTGGAGGCGGGGGGCATCCCGGCACGTCCGGCTTACCGTGACAATGCAGGCGGCCTTGCCAACTTACGGATCCTTTCCTGAAGGCGCTGCCGATGTAGGCAGAGCAATGAGAGGCGGCTTTTTCTTGTGTTTGTTCCGTTTGGATCCTCAGAAAGCAGCCTCTAAATCTTTATAGCAGTGAAACAGCACGGAAGCGTGACCTGAGCATCAAAACATCGGAGTGGCAACTACGTCAAACGTGGACTGCTCTTGAGCCTTGTCCTGTTATTGTAGGGTACTTGGGCGTGGGTCCCTGTGTGTGTCCACCTCCTTTAAATGTAGATTTGAATTTAGTGCCCAAAGATGTAAAAATAAACAACACTCAGGTTCGACTCTCTGGATATCAGTTTGCACTGAACAATACATGCTTTTGATGCAGAGACAGAGAAAAACACAGAAAAGCAAATGGACTTCCGGAGCTGCACAACAGAAAGTCATTAAAGCTGTGAACAGGGTTTGGGAAATGCATACAGGAACTCCTGCATCCATCACAGTGTTGTACTGGGTAACAAGAATGTGGCTGTGTAGAGGTTAACTGTTCTGTATGCCAAGTGCCTTTTCCTTGTGCTTTCTCTTGCTCAATATCGACTGTTTCAAAAGAATAGAGACAGATGACCGCTCTGTGCAAGAACACAGAACAACCGTGGAAGTTCCTGTACTTTGGTAATTGGTTTTGAAGCTTATAGTTTGTTACTGAAAAACTGAATGCTGCTGAGCCTGTGCTTGAGAACCTGACCCCCTTCTGAGCACTACAGGAGTTGCCATATGCTTTAATATAGGCTGTTGTGTTAGCTAATCACTACTCTCTTTTAGTACATCAGTCAATCCATTGGCAAAAGATTTAGGATGCACTTTGACTTAGACCTATAGACAGCTGCTGAAACATCACTTTTCCAAAAGGAAATGAAACTTCTCTAAGATTATTTCAGGAATCAAAGTTTCCTGCTTTCAGGAAGGTCAGATCACTTATGCGTTGTAAGCATGTCAACGTGAAAGCAAAATCTCTAAGAGCAACTAAGCAGAATATCAATGGCTTTCTTTACTGCAGGTCAGCCAGTGTCCCTGGAAACACAAATGTGCCTGCTGGCAGTAACCGTCGACTTCAGCAAACTCAGCATCAAGTAGATGAGGTAAAAATCTAGCTAGATAAGTGTAATCCTTTTCCTTAATAAAATCTGGTATGTTGAATAGATATACAGGCCAAAGTAGGTATTCTGTGATATGAAGGTGAAACCTTTTATAATTCATCTTTCTTTGTTGTATGTCACCTTAAGTCTTGGAAAGGTTTGGAAAAATAATAATCCATTCCAGCTGCACTAAATGGAGAAAAGCTTCTAGTGCCCAAATGCTAGCTGGGAACACAACAAGCTTTGATTTACAGATAAAAAGCTTGCTTCTCTTCATTAGCAAAGAAGGTTTACCTCTAAATACAACAAGTCCTGATTCCTGGGGAGGCCAAGAGCCAGTCTGGCTGCTAATGTTTTGTGACATATGGTTGACTATTGTGCTTGAATGCCTCAAGTCATTCTGGTGCTAGTCAGGATTTACATCCCAGGTTAGAGGGAATATCATCACAACTGGCAATACTGACACTGAGAAGTAGGGATTCCAGCTGCAGGCAAATTTCAGGCTTATGTTTAGATACCCTAAAAGGCGAGTTTCTTTTTTCTTAGATGAGAACATCTGTTTCCTGCAAATAAATTTTATAATGATTAATAAAACTGATAACTTACTGATATAGGTTGTTGACATCATGAGAGTGAATGTGGACAAGGTGCTGGAAAGAGATCAGAAGCTGTCAGAGTTGGATGACCGTGCTGATGCGCTGCAAGCGGGAGCTTCCCAGTTTGAGACCAGTGCAGCCAAGCTGAAAAGAAAGTATTGGTGGAAGAACTGTAAGGTAATCATGGCATGTACACTTACAGTATTCAGTATCACAACTAACAGTATTACAGTCAGCATCTGAAAAGGCACAGGCAAAAGGGACTTCAGGCAGTGCTCGCTTTTATAGCATCTAGTTTTAAAGCACGGCAGTGGTCAGGTGAAGTAACTGAAAGGTGGGATACCAGCCATACTGCTTGATACAAGGCCTTGTGTGAGTGGGTAATGACCAGAGAAATGCTGCAATAATCTGAGGCTTTGGGATACAGGAGGAAAAGGCCAAAAATGCATACTAATGTGCAAGCAAGCAGAATTAGCTCACTGTCTCCTTATAGTTGTAGCTGTTGGCGGAGGTTGGAATCCTCATTGGTGAGCAACAGAGACAACAGAAAATGTGGTGTAGAGTAAGAGGAGGTGTAATCTTTAAGTTCTTTATTCCTGCTGTGTGGTTGCCTGCATGGAGTCACTGTAGAAAAGAACTTGGTCTACTCTGATTTGCTGTGTTACAAAGCCTACCATCTCTAGGTGCAATAGTGAGACAAGACTCCATACGGAAAAGGTTTTAATTGCCATGGTAGGTCTGCCACACCAAGTGAAAGTGCTTTGCAAGGGCTGCTGTCCTGTACTCCTGTGCAGTTTATATCAAGTGACAAGTGGCTTTTTCTTCACAGATGTGGGCAATATTGATAGCTGTTGTTGTCATTATCATCATCATCATTATTGGTAAGTTTCAGCAGGATGGGGATTGCTAAGAGTTAGAGTAGATGTGGTGAATTCACCAGCCGGTGAAGTTCAGAGGCAGCTGGGACACTCTATAGGAGTTACAGACAACACTGCGTTCAGGCAGTACTGTCTGCTTTCACTGCTGTTGACTGCAGTGAGTGATAAACCCCCGCTGCAAAGCTGATTAACTGGGTCTCAATCAGCTGTGAAGGTGAGCACGCTGGGCTGCAAGACTGCGTTTCTCATACAGCTGTGCACTCTGAGAGAGCACAGAGCAACTGCAGCATTCAGAACCCATAAGGTGGGGGGTTGTTACGGCAGAGGGCTGAAAGGAAAGGACTGAGACTGTTTTTTTTTTGTTGTTTTTTTTTGTTTTTTTTTTGTTTTTTTTTTGTAGTCCTGAGTGTGCCCAAATGAGTTACGGGAGGAAACCCTCACACCGAAGGTGCCTTTCCTCAGCCTTCCCGCTCCAAGCCCGCTGTACTCTCAGCCCACCTACTGCTGTTTAAAGCGAAACTCTTCTGATGATTGAAACGTTAACTTTACCTGGTTGCCTTAAGACACTCCTGTCAGTTACTAACAGCCGCCCGTACGGCGCCTCGGTGAGGAGGATCGGATCCTGGGCGCCGCGTTCGTCCTCAGTCCTCCTCACCCGCCCGCCGCGCCGCGGTGCCATCGCGGGGGTCGGCCGCACCCTCGCCCCGTTGAAGTGCCTCAGCCGAGCCGCCCCGGCACTCGCCGCCCTCAGCGGCCGTTCCCGGCTCCGTTCCCGGCTCTGCCCGTCTCGGGGCGGGCCGCGCGGCGCCGCACGTGGCGCTGTGGTTGGCGCGCGCACGGGGGCCGCGTGCGGCGGCGCGTGAGGGGCGGGGCGCCGCCTCCGCCGCGCGCGCGCTCTCCAATAAAGTGGCTCCGCACCCGTTCCCGCCTCTCGGCTGTGTGTGGGGAGGCGGGGCGGGGCGGGGGGGGGCGGTGCCGCACGTTGTCGCCGTGTGTGGGAGCGGCGCGGCCGCGTGCAGGGCCGTTACGTAACGGGTGGGGGGCGCCGTCCGCGTCCCCGAGCCGAGATGGACGGCTGCGGCGCGGGGCTGAGCGCGGGAAGCGGCGCCGGCGGGGATCGGCGCGGCGGGACGGAGTGCGGCGGCCGCGCGCCGGGCGGAGGCTTCGGGTAACGCGCGCTGATGCGGAGGGCGCGCGGGGCTCAAGGGGTATCGCCCGAATCGCGGTCGGCGGGGGCGGCCGGGCGGGGCGGCGGTGCGCGGAACAGGGTTAGACGCGGGGACCCGCAGCGGTCGGCCGTTCCGGGCTGAGTTCACGCGGCGCTGTGTTTGCGGTACGGTGCAACGCGCAGCCGTGACGCCTCGGGTGAGTCGACGGGGCTGCGGCGTGCCGCGATGAGCAGCGAGCGGGGAAACGAGCGGCGGCTGTGAGCGGCGGCGTCGGTTTCGCGCCGGCTGCGGTGCGGCCCCGTCCCGGGCAGCCGGGGGTGAGGCGCTGAGCGCCGAGTTGTGCGGGCGTTGGGTGTGCCGGGATCCGGGGAGCTGCTGGGCTCTGAGCACGTGGGGGAGCGAGCGTCCATTGCTGGTATCGATGCCGGCGATATTTAGTACATCTGGAGCTTTTCGTTGGTTAGGATCTGCTCTCGGCTGGATTACGGTGCCTCTGCCAGCCAAAACGAGCTGGGTTCAGCACGGAAGGAGGGGACAGAAAGGTTAAAATGCAGAGAAATCAAAAGGTGTGGCATGAAATAGAGCAGATGAGCTTTAGGGCTTTTCCTCCAGTCCTGTGGGTCGAGCCGTATGGTGGAAATAGTTTTTTGGGGGTGGAATCTCCTATAGCAGAAGTCCCCATCGGAGTTCAACCTCTGTTTTGATCAGTGATCAGCTGGATTGGCGTCAGTCTCACAAAGATCTGATGGTGATGATCCAAGAAATCAAAAACTGTTTGCCTGAAGAGAAAAGGAGTTCCAGCAAGCCCAGCACTGTCAGTGCTCTCAATTACGCTTTACGGTGTGTACAGCAGGTCCGAGGTAAGCATGGAAAACGCCTGGAAGCACATGGGCTGTGCAGCAGCTTGATTTGAATGGACGCGTCTGACAACAGATAGCATTCAAACAAATGAAAACACTTCATCTATCCTGTCAACAATTGAGCTGCTCTAGTTTTTTTGGCTTCAAAGTCAGAATGCCCGCTTACTGCTTCGATCCCATTCCGCATCCAGGCACAGATAGGTGACTGCTAATAACTTGTCATGCATGTTGAGAAAACAGCATTTCTGTAGCTTGGAAAATGTACTGGATAGTTCTCCTGTGTTCTGCAGCAGAGCTAAGTAGCTCGTCACTCTTTTGCTGTCACTTGCTGTCCTCTCTACTTCCTTGTGCTTCTCTTCTGCAGCATAGGTCACTCCAGTGGTATAATCAGTACTCTTTTTTTTTTTTCCTTTGTTACTCCATAAACATTCTTCATCTCAACTTGGGCTTCATCAAAACAATGACAGTTAGGAGGGCTGTAAGAAATACTTTTAAAATTGTCTTCTTACTGACTTCCTTCTGTTTGTTTTGCATTTCTTGTTTCTTCAATTAGCAAACAATGAGTTTTTCCAGGCTCTTGGTGATCGAAGAGTGTTCCAGACGGGTGTGATGACATACAGCATAGAAGAGTTGGTGACAGTTGCATCAGAACACACTCCAAAAAACAGTGTAAGGAATTCAGACACGCTGAGAGGAGTTCATCACTTTCTGTTTCAGTCTCTATTCTATCACCTTGATATCTTTTAGGGAAACAGAAGTGTAAAATCAAAAAGCCTTTAAAAGGCAAACAGGTTTTTGTTAGTAATGGTAGATCAGTGTTACTGCTTATCTGTGCTGAATTGGCAGACCCAACAGCTGTAAGTGAAGAAATACTTCTGTTTCCTGTTTTCGTTTTTTTCCCAGACACAGCCATGATCTGTGAGAATTTTTGAATTCACTTGCAGCATAATAATCTCCTCGGATGGCATAGCAGAATGTTTTCATACCTGATCAAATCCGTAGTTGTGAAGGTCTCTGGTTTCTGTTTGTGTTCTTGGATTATTTCTCGATTGATTAATCAATTTGCAGTACATGTTGTGGTTTCTGGCTCTATTGCAAAGAGTGCCGAGTTTCAGTACTATCACATACTCTATCAGAAAGTTCTCAGATTTCTGTACATGGAACCATGACCTGTGAAATCTGGGGGGAAATCTGTGGCCAGATAAGCAGTCGTTCTGGAAAATGGCAAGCATCTGTGGAATCTGTTTCAGTATTGATATTGCAGTCTCATTAGCATGAGTAAGTAATGAGTAAGCTGTGACGCTATGGCAGGCTGTAGTAGCTCACATGCGATTTTGTTTGGATGCTGGCTTTAGAAGTCTCTTCTGTACCTCTGTCGTTATGGTGTGTGGTTGTTTGTCCTGTAGTTCTTGTGGGAGGAGATTGGGGGGAAGTTTGACTTGTTTTTTTTTTTCTTTTTCATCCATTCAATATTGCTACCATGTGTTGAGGAAGAACTGCTTTTAATAAGGTTTGTTTTCCAGGATACCTTTGTGGCTGTGTTTTCCCTGCTCTCCGGGCGCATATTGCATATTTCTGAGCAGGCAGCATCCATTCTAAACCATAAGAAGAAAGTCTTGGAATCCTCCCGGTTTGTAGAGCTTCTTGCCCCTCAGGATGCAAGTGTGTTCTATGCACACACTGATCAGTCTCACTTGCCACTTTGGTGCACGGAAAGTCAAACAGGTAGGACATAATAATGATTCTGTCTTCACAGAATGAGGATAGAATGCTTGTTTGCTCTAAATACTTACACTAGCAATATACTCAGGCCACCCTTCTTCCACTTGGAAAAGCTGAGTAGCTTTGCAGCTACTCTTAGCCTACCTGGAGTAAGTAAAATGCAGATGCCTTTTACTCATAAGCAGATAAATGGCCTACAAGTAAAAGGCAGCTGCTATTTTACTCTTTCCAAATGCTTTCCAGAAAAGAAACAGAAGGTCTAATTGTCCATTTAGAATGGCTTAATCTACAGCTTAGAATTGATTAGGTGCTCTGTTATTATGGTCCTGTAGCAGAAATGCTAAGTCACAGCCTGAAGCAGTGATGGAGCACCTGGTGGGAAGGCAGGGCCAGCCCAGGGGAGCTCAGGTGCATGCAATGTTCTGAGTGATGGAAGGGCTGAAGCCAGGTTCCACCCCTTCCCAGCCCTCATGTAAGGGTTGGCTGTGGAGGTGAGGGGATCTCTCTGGAGATCTCTGTGTACACAAGGCTTTTTGAAGGTAAG